AAAGAATAATAATAATAGGAATATAATCTTTGTCTGAGTACTTCTGAAATCTGTACAGATTATCCAAATGGCATTTTGTATCTACAAAACTAATTTTTCTTCTTTTGATTTTATTTATTTTAAATCAGTCCGCTTGTTTATTTGTACTGTATAATTCTCGAATAATTTAGTTTTTCGAGTTAATAGTGATATGTTTTGTCTTTTATTTGTTCGCTTTCTTTCTATTTTAAGCTTAAACAGCAAACTTTGACCTGTGGATCATTTGTAATATATATATATATGAAGATCGAACATTTATTTGTATTTATGATTATGTTTGTTTATATATATGATTTTTTTTTTTCTTCAATAGACTGAAGTCAGTTTGACCGCTTTACATCAAGCGGATATAATTGTACTTGTTTTATTGTAACTATTTTTAACAAAATTAAGGCATTCAATAAATGTCAGTGATGGGTAAAATCCATTTCACAACCTCTGTGTTTTATTTCCACGGTCATCCTTTTTTTTATTTTCTTTATCATATTACACATTTAAGTGCTATCTATTGAATTGAACTCACATTAAACATAATACAGGAACAATCATATTCTTGTACTTACCCCTACATGTTACTTACCCCATATATTTGTGTTTGTAATGTTTCTTCTGCTGTTGATAGTGATGTAAAAATGTTAATGAATCTAAGGGTAGATCAGTTTTATGAATTAAATTGATTTATAAGGTCATGCATAATGTAAGAAATAAACAAGAAAATGTGATTATTTTAAATCTTGTATGCTTTTTGGTATAAATGACTTATTCTCCCATATCCCATATTTTTTATTTTCATTAATCATTTTTCAGATAAAAAAATTGGACGATTTATTACTTTTTTCAGAGTATTTTAAGCCACTAAATTTTCACAATATAAATCACACCGATATAAATTTCACTCCTCTAATTTTTCCAAAATTATTCCTCGAAAATTGTCCTTAATGATTTGGAATTTTAACTATGTTATATTTGTGGCTATCCTATTGACCAATTTTTCTTTTGAGGATATTTCTTCATAAAATTTCCTTGAATTGAAAAATTTCAATCCCTTTTGATCTTTATGTCGTTTTGAAGTAGGATGGTTGTAAATGTATGCTTATCTTGATAAGATGACTGTAGGTCTTTTATTGAAGGGGTGCTGCCACCCATCTGTGGATTAGGTGCTGGAGGACCTACTGAGATAAGGGAATAACCATTAAATTCTACATCTTAAATATTGGTAATATTTATTTTCTCCTGTAGAGGACTAATTCTACATATCTTAAATTTATAATGTACTTTTCAATCCTACATCATGATTCTGAATGCATAGCAAGTGTTACTCAAAATCAACTTTGTTTTTGGTTTTATAAGCGAGTTTTGAAATTATCTTGCCGTGATTGACATGACATAGAGTGCTGTACTCAGAGTTCTAAATTATAGTAGCAAGTATTAAATTAATAATAGCAAAACAGTTTATAGACTATGTATTAAAATAAACATTTCAATATTTCCTCTTAAATGTATGAAAATAAGCCGAAAATTCCACCCCAATAACAGGATCTGCGTAGAACGAAAACCATTCCCAAGAGTCGAAAAATTCAAATACCTCAGCTCCACAATAACCTCAATGAATGACCAAAGGGCAGAAATAGACCAGCTCAAACAGTTTTTTTCTCCCTTTCAAAGTTATTGAAATCCCGAAATATCTTAAGAAAGCTCAAACTAAGGGTGTACAATGCTATGATAAATCCAGTTCTAATATATGGCTGTGAGACTAACCAGCACCCTAGAAAAAAGTTCTGAAAGATTTGAGAGAAGAATTCTCCACATGATAACCTGAGCTGCCTGGGATCTGAGTACTAACACTTGGAGAAAGAAGACCAATAAAGAACTGCTTACGGAAACTGGTCAATCGATATCCCATGATATGAAGGCATGTAGGTTAAGATGGGCAGGGCACATAGCTCGTAGCAATCCACCTGGAAGTCCCTACCTAACAATGAATGCCTCAATAGAAGGCAAAAAATCCACATGGAAGGCAAAAGGCTGGATAGAATCAACAAAGATGCAACAGAGCTGCGTGCAGATAAATGGAAAGAAATAGCCCAAGACAGGCAGAGATGGAGCAGGCTTGTTAAGGTGGCAAAAGATCTACATGGTCTGTAATGCCAACAGAAAAAAAAAAATTCCTCTTTTTTGCGTTAGTGAATTTTGTAGTTTTTGGTTGAGCCCTGGCTGATATTAAAATTTTTTTTTGTGCTTAGCTAAATGCCATATTTTCTTTCTTCAATCTTTCATTTCTCATGAAATTAATCATTACTGTTATTCTATCATATCATCATTACTGTTATAATCACACCATTATTGAAAAATCCTTTAAGATATATAGCTGTGTTTGTGCATGCAGTATTTATAGTTTAGTTTTTAAGAATGTTTCAGAACATGATTATGATTTCCTTCTTCCATACTACTTTGAACTTTAATATAGATTTGTGGCATCATTTAAATTCATGGATAGGTTTTAGGAAAGAAGTCAGTAAATTTTATTATAATTTCATATGTCATTTTAAAATATTTATTAAAAGCTTTATAATAATATTAATGTTATTGATTTTTAGATAAATTCATTGGTCACAAAAAAAATCAGGGGCGGTGTGCGTATCTCACAATTTTCACTTACTAACCTTAAGAGTCAAAGTAAAAATGACGGTATAACTTTATTTAAAACAATTAATCACCACATTTTTTCTTCCAACCCAATCTGTTAAATTTATATGTTTGTATCACTTTCCATTTCCTTTTACGACTGTGTACAGTATCAAAAAATACTAATGATTGTGGGAAAAATAGCTCTTTTAGAAAAAAATTTGAGTTTTATCGGAAACAATTATCACGAAACTTGTTGAAAAAATAACTTAACATTAGTATATATTGTATATTATTAGGCTTAAATTAATAGATTCTCATTTAATCAAAATAGAGCCGTTTTGAAGAAAATTGTAAAAAAGAGAGAAACAAACACTGCAAATTATTACACAATCATTTATTATTTCCACACAATTTGACATTACTTATTATTATTTGTTTAGTTAAATTCGTAAACTTTTAAATAATCATATACAACATTGATAAAAAAGTGTATATTTGTTGAGTTATTAGGAAACGTAATTTTACCATCTCTTATAACTTTTTTTCCAACTTCTTTTCGTTGAAGTATGTTATATTGATAAATTTAAAGTTCATCAAGGAGAAGACTTCAGCCAAGTTTCATTGAAATTGGTACATTCGTTTAGGCGATTCAGTCTATACCAACACATGTTTTTCGGCCACCATCTTGGAAGGAAAGGGCTGATAGTAATGTTGAGGTAGGAGTATCAACCTCGGCTGACCTCTGACTTTGATTCCAAATTTGAAAAAAATCAGTCCTGTAACCTCTGAGAAATGCTGTGGACAGACAGAAACCATCTTATTCGATTTTTGAATTCTAGTTATCGTGATACGCAAAACCTCAAATTTTGAGGGGGGGGAAGAGATTAAAGTTTTGATTTTTTTGGACAATCACAATGTTTCATTATTCAAAATAATAAACCAATATGTAAAATCAATGACAAAGTAGCATTTCCATTTTGACGAAAAATTTTCTGTAACATATAGGCATGTACAAATCTTCAAATATGCAATTTCAGTTGCATAAGACTTTTCGTTTATGAGCTAGACTGTTCACATACAGAGATCATTTTGTGGTAGTTGGTTATTTGAACTCAGTGGGCCTCAAAACATGTATTTCCTTTGAAAAGAGATTCAAAAATGTTCACATATGTTTTCCATAATATGTATTATATGTATAGGTAAGTGAAAGTAAAAATATATACTGATAAAAATTAAATTTGATTAAAGGTATTGAAAGATAGATGAGATCACAAGAACTCTGTGTCTACTGAAAGAGAGTACATAAATCTCATATTTTATCTCCCGATACGTTATTTACCATCAAGTTTGAGTGGCTGGATATTTTTGTTAATTTTTATGTCTATTTTTGTTTGAAAAAAAAAATACTGATTAACATAAAAAGTTGCATAGTTATAACAAAATTTTATTTTTTAATATAAATACAACAAAATTATTCATAAAACTACTATAAAAAAAGTTTACAATATTTTTTTATTAACATCTTTTCTTGATAAAATTTATTTGACTAATAATATTGCTTATTTAATCTATTCGATACAAACATTTGAGGAGTTTAGAATGATTATAGTGTAAGTCAATTTTTTTTTCTTCTAGTAAATGAATGCTTAATAAATTTTAATGACATGTGTATGTATGATCCACGCACTATGTTCTTTTAAATAATATCCATAAACCATTAAAGTACATTATAAATTACCAGAAAAATAGTAAAATTGACTTACTCTACTATCATTTGAATCCTTTCATTTTTATGCAGTGTTGTTTTCAGATAGTAATTTTATCTGTTATTTTATTATAGAGATATACAATTTACTTTTAACAAATGATAATTTATACTTTAGCACCATTTAAAATTATTCTACAGATTTTTTTTTTCTTAACAACTGTGCTAGGAAGACTAATGTTTTCATAAATATAAAATTAATATACAAAATATCTGTATTCTTGTTGTTTGAACACATTCTGTATTTTTATGTTCAGTAACTATTTGTTGTGATTTTCTTTTCTAATGCTAGTGCTATGAGATCACTATCTTTGAAAAAATTGTCTACGTGTTACATACTAATACAGTCTAATGTAACGCATTAATTTACAAGCAGCTTATTGCAGCATTTATTTTTAACATTATGTACAACCATAAGGGATAATTACTCTTAAATTTAAAACTAATGTATTTATCCAATCTATTGTTCCTTTTACTTTAGTTTCATTTTGTCCAAGGGATTCAAGAATTACCCCCCTTTTTATCAATAATTAAAAAAATACTGTTCTACAAAGTGCCCATTGCTCAATCAGTGCCTAGATTTCAATCCTTCAATTTTTCTCTGAAAGTATAATCTGTTGGTGTATGCACAAATTAGGGCAGCAGCAAGTATGAAACCAACAAATCCAGCAAAGATGTATGGAACGGACGCGGTTTGGTAAACAGGAACGTGAAGAATAAATGTATCACTGGTGGTCTCTTTGTTGTTTACTGTTACAGCTTTCACTTGAAAATGGTATACTCCACCTTCTTGTAGATCACCAACTGAAAACAAGCAACGTATAGTTTATTTGTACTAAACAAATATAATATAAATGTTCCTTATTTAACAGTAGTAGTAAGTTTGGACTCCACCATCCAGTTTTTACTCTATTTTGGTAGCTTTGAGAAATTAAAACAATAATACCTTAATGAGATCCTTACATAAAAATATTATATTAATAATTTGTCCATTATTATTTTTTTAATTTTTGTAAAAAGTATATTTTTATTTTGCTGGAATCTTTTATTATGTCACTGGAAGGTCATTGAATATTTAAACTATGCTGCATAGCTTGTGTTATAGTTTCTTTATTTGGTAGGGTGGTAGGTATGATACAAAGGCATTTAAAAATGATTAATATGGATTTATTAATAATTTGCATTCAGTTGACCTCATCTTAATTGAATTGGAACTCAAATTATTAAAGTTGCTAGTCTTGCTTAATCATATTATTTAAAGTTAAAAAATTTATTTGTTTAATTTTTCCTTTTACTTCTAATCGTTTTTATTCATTTTTTGTAATTCTTATGTTCTTTATTAAATAAATTTTGTTTGCAAGTTACATATTTGTATAATAAATTCTAGCAAGTTATTTATGGTTTTTGAAGAGAAGAATGGTTATAATAAGTATATAAGATAAATAAGTATATTTATTTATAAAAATAAATATACTTATTTATTTTTACTATTTTTTTTACTGATTACCCTAACTATTCTCTTCAATTATTGATTACAGTCAACCATCAATCCACAATTATTCATGGTTTTGTTTAATTATGTAAGGATTATAATTGGTTCAATTCAAATTCAGTATTATAAAAATGTTTCTAGTTATAGTACCTTGTTTTTCTTTTTTAAATTTTGGTCTTATATATTAATCCTGTATTATATAGAAATTATTAAATTAGTCACTACTATTTTGTATTGACCTCCGGTAGATTGATATTTATTCAATAGCCATATTAATTTTATTTGTTTCTCTTTGTTTGGTGGTTATTGTATTAAAAAAAAAACTATTATTTCTCCATAAGGTCTGTAGTAATTTAAATTATTATTAATCTTATAGAATGTAATGTTAAATTAAGGGATGAAAATCATTCTACAAACTGTTTTATTAATACTTTTTCAATATTTATAATTGGTAAATGGTTGACTGTGGTGGATAAGGAAGAGAAGAATAGTTGGGGTGGTCAGTCAAAAAAGAAGGAAAAAATAAATTATAATATTTATTTTCACATATGCCGACGTTTCGACCTGAAGTTCAGGCCTTCATCAGGGCTAAGAAAATAACCAGATAACAAGGTATGAGAAACATAAGTAGTGATGGTAAAAAAAAAATAAAAAAAAAAATAAATATAAAGTAAAATGAAATTGTTAGAATAATGACACTAGTAAGAACTAAGAGATAAATATAACCATCTCTTATTTATCTCTTAGTTCTTACTATTGTCATTATTCTAGCAATTTCATTTTACTTAATATTTATTTATTTTTTATAATTTTTTTTTTTACCATCACTATTTATGTTTCTCATACCTTGTTATCTGGTTATTTTCTTAGTCCTGATGAAGGCCTGAACTTCAGGTCGAAACTTCGGCTTATGTAAAAATAAATATTATCATTTATTTTTGCCTTCTTTTTTGACTGACCATCCCAACTATTCTTCTCTTCACTTTCAATATTTATGTTAATTGATAAAGATAAATTATTAAAAAAAAGATAAATAATTTATTATCTACTAAGCATTAAAAATATTAGTTATTTTATATATATATATATATATATATATATATATATATATATATATATATATATATATATATATTATATATATAAAAAGCATTGTTATTTTTTTCTTTGTTACCTAAGTAAGAAGGGTGCGTTGTATCTATTATGACCGGTAAAGAATCCAATGAGCCTTGTGCCCAGGCGAGCCTGTAGTATTCCACTTGGCCTGAAGTTGGAGGCTCCCATTCTAAAAGGTATCCTCCTTCAGTCGGCGTCACTCTTACTTTTTGCGGTTTGTCACCATCTTTGAAAACATTTTAATATTTAAATAATAATAATATATTTCTTTTGTTAAGAAGTATTGTTATATAGGAAAAGTAATACAGTATACAAGGAGTCATAAGAAAGTTAAAACTTCATCTGTATGGAACACTTATAATTGTGCAGTAATAAAAAAAATTGTTAATTTCTAAAATTCATTTGTTATTAAAGGATTCTAGTAACAACCGGAGTGGAAATTTTTTTATTATTAATCAAATTAGTGACACAATTTTAAACTGTTTGCAGTGATACTCATAAGAGGATGGTATGGCTCATGTTGTACCATCAAGATTTTTGAGGGGAAACATTGATGATTTTCAGGGGAACCATATTTTTGTAGAATTTCAATATAGAGGAACTTTAAAACTAGGAAACATAAGAAGAACGTTAAATATACCACTGTGAGAGTAATTGTAAATACATTATAATTTTCATAATTCTACTTTCACTTGTACTGGAGGAAGTATTCATAAGAAAAACAATAAAATTTCGTAGTAGGGAGACATGGTCTTTCGCACTTGAAGAAGATGAGTATCCCAGATTTTTATTATTCAGAATTCATTGCATTGTATCTTGAGATTTATTGAAGTGAACTTATTTTATATGGAAAATTACAAAAGTCAAATCAACTTCTAAATACACAGTGCCTATTGGAATAACGGCACATTTTACCTGGCCATATAAGCGTTAATGGAAAATAAATGGCTGATAGAGCAAAAGAAGCTCTTACTCTTCCAGGTTGCGGTAAAGTTTTTTTGACACTATCTGAACTTGCACGACCTCTAAGAGAAACCATATCCCAAGAATGGCAAAGACGGTGGGACAACAGCGCACCTAGCAAATTAAAAACAATAAAGAAAGAAGTGCAACTGTGGACCAGCTCCAGACACAGCAGTCATAGAGAAGAGGCCATCCTCACGCGGCTGAGGATCGGACATACTAGACTGACACACCTCCACCTCATAACAAAAGATCTTATCCCCAGATGTCAGAAGTGTGACCAGTGATTAACTATAAAACATATTTTAGAAGAGTGCCCTTTTTACACCGCAAGATTAAAAAATCTCGGAATACCCTAGAATGCATCATCATCTCTGGGAAATCTAGAAGAAATCGTTACCAAAGTTATCAAGTTCCTGGATAGTGAAAGACTTAAAAAACATATATGACAAGCTTATAATTAATGATCCTTTGCAGATTTATTATTGTTATTTTTTTTATTTATTTATTTACTTTTTTTTAAAGTTCATTTGTTTATTAATTTCAATTCATTTATTGATTTTACTGCTATTTTTAAAAGTTTATTTATTTATCGATTCTATCTTATTATCTATAAGTGTCTATTATTATCCTTATTTATTCTATCAATCCATTTCTTTATTTTTTATTTTTTGTACTAACCATCCAAACAGTATAAAGTGGTGTTATTTAGTTGATCGGGCGCTTATGACCTGGATGTTTTGCGCTTAGACATCGAAACAAACAAACACAGTGCCTATATATATTTCCAAATTTTTCAATGAAACTTTTGCAAGGCAAACAAGGTGGTATTTTATTTTGAGATAGCTTTGGCAGAAAGTGATTGACTTGGGGTATAAACATATTTCAACAACTTTAAATGATTTTGGATAGTAAAAATGTCTTCTTAACTTTTTTCAAGAAAAAGAATGTGAATTAGAGTTTTATTATTTTATTTAGTTCTATATCTTCTTCTTTGTCTTTTGTAAACTATAAGTCTACTTATAATTGATACTATGTTTTTGTGAGAACTGGTATACTTTTTTATAAATTAAATAATAAATACAAATGAATTTTTATAAAATTATATGGTCTCTAACCATCCAAGATATTCATAAAGGGACATAGATAGCCATGGCAGGGACAAGAGGTCGTTTAATCAATTGTTATATATTTTAATAAGTGATATTTTATTCATAATGCAGTTCCCTAAATTATGACATAACTTAAAATATTTTTTTTTTTTCATAATTTCTATTCTTACTTATTTCTCATGTTGTGTTACACATTAGTGGAAATATATTTAGCTTTTTATTTTACATTAAAAATCCAACCTCTAATAATAACTTTTGAAATTATTATTCTAATTTTCTCACCCATTATGCTTTGAGAAGCTGTTGGTGTGCTACCCTGAACTTCTACTGGTTTTCCTGTAAAGTTATATTTTTTAGTTAAATGATGAATGGTCATAAAATTATTAAGAAAAATATTTTATTTACCTTTTGTTTTTAGTTTGATAGGTTTTGAAAACATTCCGTCCCCATTATGATCTTGAACAAGCACCATGAACTCATATTCTCTCCCTGGATCCAATGATGTTATCGTCGCACGGTCACCGGATACTTTGACTGTTCTCCACTCTGCACCGTCAGCAGCACGGACCCTTAAATAATTTCATTTTGATTACTGTTTTTGAAGCTTATCAAGCTTTGCTAAACAACTTATATACATTAACTTGAATTATTTTGACTTAAATACTTCAAAACTGTTCTTTATATTAATATGAGCAAGGCATATTAATCAGGATCTATGGGTAAGAATAATGTTGGTTTATTATTTTTCTTGAAAGGTATTGATTATATTGTTTTTAGTATTCTAAAAAACGTTTTTCTTAAAAAAATTTTAAAATTTATTTCATCTTGAACAATCTTTTGAACTTGTTGGTTCTCTATTAAAGATCTACAATAGTAATAATAGTAATACTTTATTTATTCTGGGACAAGTCCCTTTAGAATAATATACAGAGACAGAAATGTGGGCTTCGGAACCTCAAAGAATTATCTCAAAAAAATAAAAAGAATAGACAATAAATAAAGAAGTATAAGTTGTCGTCTAACTTTTCAATTATAGAAAAAACATGAAATAAATGTATTTAAAATGACCTTAAAATTTATATACACATTTACAATTTATGGGGACTGAATGGATAGGAGGTGATTGAATAGGCGAGATTTAAAGGTGGAAAGGGTATTAGAGGGAGGGATAAAATTCCATAGAGACGAGTATTGGATAATGAAAGATCTGTTGAAGGCAGTGGTTCGGTGGGCTCTTATATACAAATCCGAAGACCGGGAACGGGTTGTATGGGCGTAAACAGGATTTGAATTGAAGGAATTTGGAGATGTATGAAGGACGATGGGATTGAATGACTTGGAAGAGGAAGGAAGTTAGGAAGTACTTATGACGGTAGGAAGGATAAAGCCACTTCAGCCCTTCATAAAAATGGGAGACAGAGGCGTCCCTTGGGATCCCGAAGATGAATTGTACAAAGCAATTTATCAAACGTTTTAGTTTTGCCTCGAGATCCTGAGAGACGCCCCCATACACTGTACAGCAATAGTCAAAGTGGGGAAATATTAAGGAAGTGGTCAGGAGTTTACAGGTTTCAAATGAAAATAGGTGGCGGAGGTAATTTAATCGTTTTAAAATGGGAAAGGCATCTAGGTATAATAGTATAATAGATAAATTAAAATGGCAAGCATATTAATTGATGAAAATTATTGTTTTTAAACCAATATATTTATATTATAACAAAAAATTTAATATTAAATTTGACAAGTAGAAATTCATTAATGATAAAAATGTGATAAATATAATAAAAGAAAATATAAATAAAGAAAAAAAGATGAACTAGGAAATGAGCCAAGAGGCTGTAATAGTTATTCATGATAAAATGAACTACTTTTATGAAAATATCATCATTTAAAATAGCGCAATATAAATATTATTTAATATTTGGAATGAACAGTTCAAGTTTAAATCCCATGATTTTATTCACTTTCTTGTGATAATTATATATAGACTTATTTGTGTGTTTGCTATTTGTTAATATTTAATAAAATAGAGTAAATGAAAGAAACTTTTGTTATAATGTTAGAAATGATTTATTCTAACATCATGATTAGCTGTCATTTATCTCTTTAATGATAATAATACAATGATGCAATTAAGAAATAAGTGGTGATTAGATTAATATAGTAATTTATCAATTCAAGATGTTTAGATTTCCTTACTTCCATTTCTTTTTATAAAATAAATATGAATTTTTTTCTATACAATCATCATTGATTTCGATGGTAATAGTATTTTCTACATTCTGAGGTATTTGCCTCTTTGAAAACTAACATAAGAACTATCCCTTTCGTCTTGACCCTTTATTGCTTGATATTTTGTTTTACGAAGAAAATGAAAAAAGTTGGCTAGTCATGATTTTATCAAGTGTAAAAAAAAAAATACAATTATATAGTACTCACATTACTTTCTGGAGACAGAATTTGAAACCAGCTTCCCAAATTTAAAAATTCTTTCTTTAGTGATGAATACCAAAAATGATAACATCATAATAAATATCTGTATATAATAATAAATAGCTATATATAATAGTAAATATTTATATTACTGATTGCTTAAAACTGACTCACCAGACGCTGTACTGGTCAGATGTCGCAGGAGTGGCTGGCCTCCAGCTGAGCGTGACTGATGTGTAGGTGACATTGCCTGTTAGGTTGTACGGTCCCCTAGGAGCACTGCCCTCGATGAGTAGCTCAGTGTCTGTAGAGATGGTTGCAGCCTCATTAGAGGCCACACACTGGTACATCCCGCGGTCACTCTCGTTAATGTTGATAATGGTCAGGTTGCCACCAGAAACTGTTGCTCGATCTGGTAATGGGCTACCATCTTTCTGTCTCAATAGCACCCCCACAATGCATTTAGTTGGTATATTCTAATTTAATTTTTTTTTCACTTTTCATTGAATGTTCATTCACTCTCATTTGATGAATTTCGGGCAAAAGAGAATAATGATGGTATGATTTTATATTTATATTTTTTTAAGTTTTGTTACATTTTTAAAAAAAAAAAGGTAGTAATATTAATAATTTTTGATTATAGTTCTGAGATTATCTTGAAAAGTTATTTTATTGTTTAATATCAAATTCAAACTGAATGTTTATGTGTATAAGTAATATTATTGTCTTTTAAGTATTAATTGATGAAAAGTACATGTTTGATGTGGAAGATTTGAGTGAAGTATACCAACCGAATGAATTTCTACATGTGAGGACCATTGATTAGTTAGAGAAGAAAGATAAGAAAGATTTCTAAAAAAAATAGAAAGACGAATTTTTGATGATTTATTTTTAAGAAACTTGTTGAAACAAGTCTAAATATTTTGTGTTATGCTTAAACCTCTCTTAGAATAGTATTTTGTGTCACTATATTTCTTGATTTGAAGATCAAAGTACTCATATTGCACTTCTATACTTTGAAACAATTTCCAGAGCCTAAAAGACGTCAACACAATTTATACCTATTAATGATTTATGATGGATTATATGTAATGCACTAGCGGATCCAGGATTTCATTTTGAGGAGGGAGGGCTTCAGCCCGAAAGATTTTTGTTTTAAAGTAAAATAATAATTCTTCAGAAGAAATAGAAAGAAACTAATTACCTATACGAAATGGTATTTAAGTGATTAAATCCTATTAAATCTAATTATACGAACAATAATACTTTTAGAGATAGTTTTTAAATATTGTTTTCATAAGACATGGTTATATTTTATCATTTTGGGGCGCATCAACCCGAAAGCCCCTCTCCTTCTCCGTAGATCCCCCTGTGAAGTAATATGCTACTAATGGCTTTTGTCTGTGTTGCAGAACAACCTTTGTTGCCTGACCTCATAGGGAAGATCTATTTTTAATAGTATTAATTAGAACCATTCAGACTAAAAGTTTCAAGATACTTATTTACATCTAATTTTTATTTATTTATTTGAGGTATTGTATTTTAAAAATAAACCATAAAATTGAATGCATTAGTTATACACTAATGCATTACTATTTTATATTATTTAATCTAATTAATTTGCTTATTTTTAGAACTAGGAATATTAAAAAAACAGTGAAATCAGCATTGGCATTTAAGCTAGTTTATTGTCAAAATTTTAAGTTTATAAGGTTCAATTTAAAATACACCTTATTTATTAAAAAATTTAAATGTTAAACTTGAATTGTTATTTAGTACTATCTTATATAAAAATTTTCAATATGTAGTACTATCCTGTGTAAAAATATATCAATTTTTTTCTATTTTTTGGATATTAGCTAGTAGTGTTTAATATATTAGAAAAGTTAGAGAAGTTTATTCAAATGCTGTAAATTAGTTAAAGGAAAAAACAACAACAGGCTGTTTTAGTTCAAATGCATGCGGATTTAATAAATTTTTTAATATATATTAATTTGATTAACCAATTAATTAAAATATATTTCAGTATTGCCTGATAAATGAAACATAATAATTTAACAGTTTAATAAAAATCCATGTGATATTCATTTTTAAGATTTGTAAATTCAAAAATTAAAATAGTGATCTTTATATTAGAAATTAGTAGGATTTTTCTGTCAACATTCCAATAATTCTCAAGCTGTATTAGTTTGGCCAGATCTGTTGAACAAGATACTGCTTAAATCCTAGTAGCAAAGAGTTTCAAAATAAATATGATGCTTGTTTGAATTTAAATGCGAGTTAAATGTAAATAATAATGGATAATGAGAGAAAGGAAGCTTTTGCCACAATGCAGATTGTTTATGTTCAGATAATATTCAAGATGTAACTTATGCTTATTAAAATGTCGGAAGCAATGTGTATTAATACAGTGAGATGTTAACAAAGGTTGTTAGTCTTTTAGTTTGAAAAGGCTAGTAATGAAAACATGTTAAACCTAAAATGTATTTAAATTTGGTTCAGTGAGTCAGATGAAATGATGATGATTGGATGTGAGTGTTCATCATTACATAGGAACTATGCAAAACATTTTAATAAGTATGCTATGGAATAATAAAAACATAAAGTAGTTTCTGATAAAAGCTTTGTTCGCCTTTTGCCCTAAATTCACCTGCAAGTGAGAAGCATAGGTTTAACATATTTTTTTTTTAATAATGCAAGAACCATTACCAAGTTTATAAAGGTTAGATATTGCTGATAAAATGAAAAAAAAAATGCTTAATTGATAAAAGTGAATAAATTAATGTATAAAGTGATTAAAATACTACTACTAGCAATATTTTATTCACTTCACATGAAATGCATGTCCATTATTAATTAATGGCCCTTATTAATTAACAGCCCTCTGAGTTCGAAAAACACATTTTTAGCCATTGTCTGTTTGTCTGTCTGTCCTGGTGTCAGAAAGGGTTGAATGAGAGAAAAAGATAACTAAGTGAAAGTAAGAAAATCCAGCATCACACAAGCTTCACTATTTCCGCTACTTTTAACAGAAATTATTGTTTGACAGTACTAAGCTATGGCAAAAAGTTTTTGATCAGCAATATTAGAGGATATTGAAATTTTTACACTGATCTACCTTAAGCCAGTTTACATTGCTTTAGTTTATCAAATAAATCACATTCAAATCTTTTCTTTGATCAATTTTCAGGATTTGGACACACCAGATTTTTTGACACACAATTAACTTTTACTGTTTCAGATCACTTTGAGACAGTATTCTCAATATAGTTGATATTTTTTTTTTGTTGCCAAAATTCTTTAATTTTTTATTTATAAGGAAGCTATGACATAAGACTGTTGGGGAATCACTTCATAATTGTCAAGCTAGAAACATATTTCGTGTTGGACTCACAAATGTGCTCAATGCTAGAAATATTTCATAACTTAAGGTATAAAAACTCTATGTTAAAAGTTATATTGAAGAAAACATAATTTTATCTTTTCTAACATGAAACTTAATGTTGAAATATAGACATGCATTTCATATAATTGATATATTATTAATGGATATATTGAAAAAAAAAACATTAAAGAAAAGGTATATTGTAAAAAGTATCATAACAAACTTAACTACTGAAATTACATAAACTTAAGAAATGATATTTTCTTTGGTATTAGAAAATTTAAACTATATAACACCCTCAATGTATTAATAAAACTTTGATAAAACTCAATAATTTAAAATTTATATTACAATACATCAGTAACCAATTAAACTATTAGATTTTGATTCACACTAGTGTGTGTGTGTGTGTGTGTGTTCTTCATTTATAAAATTAATATATTTTATTAAATAAAATTAATCTTATGTAATCAAAAATTAATATTTCCTTAAAGATACCTTTTAGATTGTTATGTATCTCGTATATAATATGTTACTATGTTAAATATAGAATTGAGGATGCAATATGTTTATTAATAAAATAAAATAAATGACTAAACTTCTATGGTTTTATCATTTAATTAGATTTATATCTGTTAAACCTTATTACAATGCATGGCACAACTAAGGGTTTCCCATATTGAGGCATACCACAACGGTATTCTGTACTATATAGATTTTTTCTCAAAAATATTTTCTCTTTTGTAACTTTTGAAAATATTTCTATAAAAATTGTTAATTGTTAACTATTATTTATAAAATAGAAAATTCTCTATTTAAGAAGAAACCATGTTTTGTTGCCTATATGAAACGTGCCAAATATAAAATAACTCATCCCACAAAGAGGACTTTTGTTTTGTTTTGTAATAAAAAAATTAAAAAATGTGGTATATGTTTGTTGGGTTGATCATTCCTCCATTAAATGGTTAAATAAATTGTTTTCATTTTTCATTGGGTGATAGTATAGAAACCATAGAAGCTGAGTTAATTATTAATTAATGTGTTACATAATGAAATATTAGTATAAAAAAATAAATAAATAAAAAATATGCCCTTAAGGTGACATTGATAATTAATAGCAATAGTAATAACTCTTAGGAATATATGCAAAATTAGGTAAACAAAATTTTTCATCAAGTTTATGTCATTTAATTTTGTGTATGTAAATAGAAATTATAGTATGATTATAATCTTTTATAAAAAAAAAAAAAAAATGATTTACTATTTCATGCAATGACAGTTTATATTGTTAACTTAATAAATGAACTAAGTTGGCTGACGGAATCTAGCAGATGCTTGACCATTATCTCAATGAATGGTTTGTGTTGTCAATAATACAAACATATTTGTGGATAAAATGAATATGTAATGTCAAATATTGGTCTTTATATTTATAACATAAATAATATTGGTCTTTATATATATATGAATATGTAATGTAAAATGTTGGTCTTTATATTTATAATATTGTAACCTCTGTTATAATTCTATCTGCCATTGCTGTAATTGTGCTATTGTAACAGCTCTCAAAGCAGGCCTTAGGACTGGGTACATGCCCAAACGTATCAAACTGAAGGAGTACTCTTATTAGGAATTGTAAAAAATTACAAAAGTCTATGAGATAACTTAATTTAAGCATAATAATAAATCAAATGAGTTAGAAATGTATTGAATCAAATAAAAATATTAAATAATATACAGCAGCTGAAAAAAAATATTTTAAACTGAAATTTTGGAGGGAAGCTTGTTTTGTTGTGTTAATAATAATTAAACAATCATAGTGTAATTCACTGGATCGCCTAATATTCTATGCTGGCATTGACTGCTTTGTATGAAACTAAAATTGAATTAGTGTTCTTCATATTATTATTTATTACTACAATACTAACATATTTTACTGGCTAGATGAATAGTATTTTATTAGATATTTAATTGATAATTACAAACTTTTAAGTAACTTTTAATGCAGTAATTTTTTTATTATATTAATCCTATTAATTATTCACAGTCAATTGTCAAAATATATATTTGGACGGAACTGTTTTTATGCTAACTACACAAATTTTAACTATAACAATTTCAATTGAGAAAATAAATAATCAAATTTAAATTTTGTGTGTAAAAGGTTTTGACTTATAAATGTTAATGATATTTTGAATTATTTAATCACTTCCGATTAAACCATGGCCTTCGGTAAAAAATTAATGTATTTTTTTATTTTTACCATTAATAAGAATGGAGCACCTTTTTGTATCGCATAAGTGCTTATGAAGAGTTGAAGTAGCTTTATCTTTCCTACCGTCGTAAGTATTTCCTGGCATCCTTCCTCTTTAAAGTCATCCAATCCCACTGACTTTCATGCGTCTCCGAGCTCCTTCAATTCAAATCCTCTGGTTGTTCACGCAATACTCGTTCCCTGTCTTCTGATTTATATATAAGGGCCCACCGGACCACTGCTTTCGAAAGATAGTTCATTATCCGATCCTCATCCCTATGGAACTCCATCCCTTCCCACATCCGTCAATCCAATAGCCTTCCTATCTTTAAATCCCATCTGTTTAATCATTTCTTATCCATCCAGTCCCCATAAAATTGTAAATAGATACTTCTATAAATATTTATATAAATTATTAGATCGTTCTTCATTATTTTTACTTCATGTTTATTTTCAATTTTTTATGATTAACTGATTTAAGTTATAAAGTAACTTATAATTTTTTTTATTTTTTATTATGACTATTTAATTGCTCTCTATTTTTTTAAATGTATTTCTAAGGCTCCTTAGCCCACATTTCTGTCTTTCTGTATGGTTCTTAAGGGACACGTCCCAGAATAAATGAAGTATTGTTATTATTATTATAAGTGTTGAAATATTTAAGCTTTAATATTTTATTTTATTGAGCTAATAAAAATTCCTCTAATTCAATAAATATAAGTTACATTTACATGAAAAAAGCAAATTTAGTCTTTTTGGTTTTATATGCATTCAAAGATTGGTTTTGTATGCCTTAACTTTAAAGTACAGAACACTATTTGTTATATATTATTGTAACACCTTTCTTCTTACAAGACCATGTCCGTTTCCAAAATACTATGACGAACGATTGTGGTTTAAGGCTCACCTTGAACCAAAGGATTGTAGGCCTGTGTGCGGAGTCACCATCGAGTGCATCACAGGGCATTAAGATGCTGTCACCAGTCCTCCGCAAGTACATGTTATGTGGTGTCAAGGTGAAGACGGGAGGGTGTTGGACAACTACCCGGATCCTTGGTGAAGGACCCAGAGTTCCAAGGTCGTTATAAGGTGTGCAAGTGTATTCACCTCCATGGGTTTCATCCACCTTTGCATACATTACATCAATCAATAAAATCATAATATACTAATAAAAAATGTTAATTAAAAAAGCTTCTCTTAATAATAATTTTTATTTTTGTAAATAAATAAATCATGTTGTTTTTCAATTTAATGGAAAACATTAGAATTTTTGTCAGAAAGGTGTAATATACAAATCATTTCACAGGAGTTAAAAAAATGGCTCAAACTCTATATTCAGTTAAGAGTATAAAATAATATTAAACCTTCTTCTATAGAGGGCAAAGGGATAATAACGTCAACAATTTTGTTGAGTCACAAACTGTTTATCATCTTGTTTACCCAACAAATACTAGCCATTTAGATTGTGTTATAAAATCTGAGTATAATGACAATTAATAGTTGCAAATTATAAAAAATGATAGCAGATTTTCTTAAGAACAACCTCATGGAGATTTTAAAACTGTTATTATTATAAATACTTACTAGAATTAAATGGAAAACACTTACTTTATTAAAATACAGGGATCCATTTCTTTTGGAGAAGACACCTGGTACATTGAAAGGGTCAAATAAGAATCCATCTTTTTCCCACCTAAGTTTTGTAAGTGGCGGGTTGGCAGAAAAGTGGCAGTCTAATATTCCTGGCCTACCAAACGGCAGATATACTTCTTTTTCAGTATAAACAACTCGAGCCTTATCTAAAACAGTATCAATTAATAAACTAAATGGTAAAATACTATTTCTATTAGGCTCACAAGAAAAGATTATATTTTTGCTGATAAAAATACAATGAATCAACGAACGCATTGATTGATTATATTTTAATTTTAAATACATGAATTTTTTTAATCATTAAGATGAACGTTAATTTTCAAGTATTTGAACATATGCTCTGACACGACTCAAGATTATTCTTATTGAAGTCTATGAAGAGCGAATAAAAAAATACAAACTTGTTCATTAAAAGACTTTTCTAAGTGCCTATGTTGATTAATTGACAAAATTAGATAACTTTCATTCTTGATTTATTAATGTTTGATACTATCAGATAGTTCTAATGACTATTCAAAATTATATTTTTAAACTGTATTTTCTTTTCAAAGTAGTAACAATAGTTCTTTAGAACAGTAAATAACTGTAGTATTAATTAGATAAACGTATTTAATTTATTTAAATTCATTCTGAATGTATAAATGAATCAGGTGTTGTGATAAAGTAAAAAAAAAAAAGCGAGAGATTGAGCCAGAATAGCATGATTGGAATCTAGGACATTCTAATAGAGGCGTAAAGTAATTCTGTCTATTACAGATTCCCTTCAGCTACTTCCCTTGTCACATCTGCCACCATGGCTTCAATGATTTAATTATTGAAGATTTTGTTACTAGATGAATAGTGGGTGGCTATACATAGTTATCCAATTAACGTCCCTACAGTGAAGTGGTAAAGTAGTGTGCAAATTGTCTTTTTCAATTATTGACAGTTCTCAGCTTGTTTCAGGCAGGAAAAGCAAATATTTTCAGTTAATAATGATTTATTTTGTTTCCATTAGTATAATTTAGTAGAATATCTGAGTACTGAGTTAGAAAGTATTTTGAAAGAAAAATTGAGCGAAGTACATTGATTAGAAAATTGATATATTTCATCCTTGACATTTGTTTGTATGTGCTAAATGTTTAAAAATAATTACAAACACATTTTCAGGATGATTTTTTTTTCAGATTATAAATCTTAATTGTACAAATTTACTTTAGTATTATTATATTAACGTTTATTATTTTTATTTATTGTATGGTATGAATGAGCTACTCTATATCACTATTACTATTGTCCTTGAATATGACAGATTGTAATAAAAAAAATAAAAAAAATTGTACAAATTAATTTATATATATATATATATGTATATATGCATATATATATATATATATATATATATATATATATATATATATATATATATATATATATATATATATATTTATTTATTGAAATGTTGATGCTTTGTTTAAGTTGATTACTACCATAGTCTACAACAGATCAAAACTTATTTTAAGACCAACAAGAATTTTTCATATCTCATCTAGTTATATACACATAAATAGTTAAAATTTTTTATATGATTTTTAATTTTTCATGCATCAATATAAACTGGCCATGATTCAAATTCTAATGATGAATTCATTTTCTGTGAAGTACTTACAAGATCTAAAAAGTATATATCTCCATGGCATAGAAGAATTCTCCATGTCTATGCTCTACTCATATATGGCATTTTTTGTAACAATAATATAAAGGACAGCAGAATTTTATAGATTGACATAAGACAGTTATTTCTATAATAATTAGTTTTTAACTATTACTATTCTGTATCAATAGAAATTAGATCGATATATAGTCAAACACCAATAATTAAACAATCCATGGTATATTTATTTCAACAAAAAATTATTGTGAAAAATAGATTTAAAAATTATTTGGATTCATTTTTTAGGTTTTTGGTTTTATTATTTCATACCTTTGGTGCCTAATTTGAAAAAAAATTATACATTCCTAGAAAAATTTACTGATGGAGGACAAATGAATAATTTTTAGTTGATTTTTTGGGTTCTAAGTACATTTAAAAGTCAAATTTTCAGAGGGATTAGATTGTTTTGTTTGATTACTTGGTCAAAGGCTTATTATAGAAAATTAATAACCAGAAATACAGGTATACAACAGATATTTTTATTAATATATATATATATATATAAACATGTTTATAAGTAAAATTAATTAATTCTTTTATAATTAAGAGGCCTTGACTCATGTTTGATTGACACTTCTTGTGCCATCTATCAGATATTGTGGCTCAACCATTAAGCTTTGTAGTGTATAAACCTTGACTAGAAATAAATTTTAAAAAATATCTAATTTGATATGATTTATTTGGGAAATTTTAATAATTATTATTTAGGTTGTTCAACAAGTTTCAGTGAGGAATTTATGAATAAATCGTCAATTATCTATCTGTCTGGTTGGGTCGAAGTGTTACCTAAGTTTCCTAAAGAAGAAACAGTGGTTGTGTGGATGGTAACTGAAAAGAGAAAAGGGTCAATAAAATATTTCAAAAAGTAAAACTTTATACTGCGAGAATAAGTAATTTGACATTACGAAGAATCCTTTAAAAAGTAATACTTCTAAGTGAAGGCATTCTTTGGTGGCTGGAGCACGGGCGGATCTACGGGGGGGGGGGGGGGGCTTTCAGGCTGAAGCCTCCCCAAAATGGTAAAATATAGCCATGTTTTATCGAAGAAAATATTAAAAAAGTATCTCTTAAAGTATTATTGTTTGTGTAATTACATTTAAAAGGGCATTAGGAATCACTTAAACACCATTTCATACAGGTAATTAGTTTCTTTCTTTTTTTCCAAAGTAATTATCGTTATTTTTATAAAAAAACAGCTTTCGGGCTGAAGCCCCCCCCAAAATGAAATCCTGGATCCGCTAGTGGGCTGGAGTAGTTATGTGAGTTTAATAAATTAGGTAAGTTTTAGAATTGAGTAATGTTAGAAAGAATCTATTCTAATGAAAAATTAAACTGCATGCTTATTAGTTTCGAAACTAATTCATTTATTTGAAATGAAACATACAGGAGTAAATGACGGCTATCTATTTATTTGTGTACTGATCAATTGAACCAGCAATTAAGTGACAATTCCAATCTTGAGTTTGTAAAGAATTCCAATTCAAGACATTGATTCATATTCTCCCCTCAGTAGAGTGGCCATGGATTACATAACAGGAAGTTTTAGATGAGAGATAAGCGCTACCAAATCCATCTATCACTAAAGAGAAATTGTTTGACATGTGATCATGCAATAGTGAACGATTTTCGTTAATTATTCATAAAATCAACCCCCAGAACAAGGAATGAATCCATGAATAAGTAGTTCAGCTGTTTTTGAGCGCCATGAAACACTGTATGTTTGATAGGACGATTTATGAGGAGTTTTACCGACATTTGGAACTTAAGAAGTATTTTAGCGTATCAAATGTGCGGTGCATACCTGTCACAAACTAAATTATCAGAACCACCTACATGAAATCTGGACTGGATTAAAATAATTTGAAATATAAATTGCCCTGCTAATGAAATTAGGACTCCTGGTAACCAAAGACGTAAAAGACTGTCCTACGGAAGGAAGGACGCTTGACAATCCTAAAAGTAACTAGTGCTGTATTAAAAAAAAGAAAAACTTTGCTGTAAAAATGTACGAATACTGAAATTTTATTCTATATAATTTTCGGTATACATTGTTTTTCTTTAATTCTATTGAAGTTATTATGTAATTGGGCAGGGCAGGTTAAAATATCTCCAAGCGGATGCACGAAATAAATCTCGACCTTCCTACATTGTCTAGAACAGATTGGTTATTCGTTAGATAACTCGTCTTTTCTACCACTTACAGATACAGGATTTAATTTGGAGGAAGGGGAAGGGGATTCAGCCTGAAAACAATTTTTTCATATAAATATAACTATAATTACTTTGGAAAGAAAAGAAAGAAACTATATGAAATAGTGTATTGATGAATTTTGAAGTCCTATCAAATGTAATTACATGATTAATAATACATTAAGAGATAATTTTTTAATATTTTATCATAAGGCATGGTTATATTTTATCATTTTGAGGGGAATAAGTCCGAAAGCACCTCCCCTTCTCCGTAGAACCGCATGTGACGTAATATACTAGCTTTTTTCTGTGTTGCAGAACAACACTTGTTGCCTGACCTCATAGTGAAGATCTATTTTTAATAGTCTTAATTAGAACCATTCAGACTAAAAGTTTCAAAATACATATTTCCATCTAATTTTTATTTATTTATTTGAGGTATTGTGTTTTTAAAATAAACCATAAAATTGAATGCATTAGTTATACACTGATGCATTGTTATTTTATATTATTTAATCTAATTAAGTTGCTTATTTTTAGAACTAGGAATATTAAAAAACAGTGAAATCAGCGTTGGTATTTGAGCTAGTTTATTGTAAAAAAAATTAATTTTATAAGGTTCAATTTAAAATACACCTTGTTTATTAAAAAATTTAAATGCTAAACTTGAATTGTTATTTATTACTATCTTATATAAACATTTTCAATACGTAGTACTATCCTGTATAAATATATCAATTTTTGTCTATTTTTTGGATATTAGCTAGTAGTGTTTATCCAAAATGTTGTAGTGTTTTCCCCCTCTTCCCCGCGGATCCGCCTGTGATTTTTACCCTAGCTGAAACATAAGCACATTATACCCCAAATAAACAGAGTAATAAATGGTGATTAATAACCATATAAATTATTATAAGCTACAAAATATTCCAGACAAATTAATCTCACTGTTATCGTAGCAAATAATTAATTTATACAATAATTGTGGCTTAATTTTATTGCTAACACACTTTATTTATACAAGATGGCATAAAAAAAAAATTAATTAGATTATAAAAGCATTTTATAAATATTTATTGATGGAGTGAAAACATTTTTTGCGCATTATTGACGATGATGATCCAGCTATGTGATGGAAACTAGTAAATTATAAATGTCATTTTAGTTTATGACTAGCTCCGCAGTGCAATATATTTTCACTTATCAATAATTATTTATTATTATTATTATGAAGAATGTAATAAAAAGTACTGACACCTGACGTCGAGGTAGGCGGAGGCGGATTGGCTCCTGCCGGCCGGCGAGATGACCTGACAGGTGTAGAGGCCGGGGTCGGCGACCCCCGCGGACTGGAAGACCAGGGCGCCCCCCGGGGACACCCTGGCGGACCCCGGCTCCAGCAGCGACCCGTCCTTGTACCAGGTCACCCTGGCCCCGGGCTCCCTCGTGCTGCACTCCAGCCGCACCGCCTCCCCCTCCAGCACTGTCTCGTTCTTCGGCGGCATGCTCAGCAGCTCCCTTCCTGCAAAACAACAAATGGGTATTTTATCCGTTAAGAAAAAAAAAATACATAAAATAAAAATATTTATATATTTATCATCATCACCAATGGCAGGAACTTGGTCTCCTACTATCTTACCTTCTTCCTCCAAACCGATCTGTCTTCAGCTGCTCCATCTCCATCCAACTACACCCAGGTTCCTAAGTCGTCATCTCCCAGCCAACGAAGTCTAGACCTGACTTTCTCCTTCCATCCTGCCCATCATCTATCTAGGTTCCATTTATTGCACCTGCTCCGATCATCTTATTCTTCCACTCTTTATGATTGATATATGGGACGTTATATAGCTTCTTCAGTTCTTCATTCATCAAAGATTTCTTTCTCCGGTTGGGTCATAACGTAGGATTTTTCTTTCCCACCAGTTCAATAAACTCCATGTCCTCTCTGAGAACCATTTCCCTCAGTTGGTGACCGAGGAGAACTACCCGTTCTTCAAGAACTTTATTCACGGGTGGAAAACCGCAGTTGGCTCTGCTCATTTTCATATTCCAGAAAGAGGACCATTTTCTGGTCGACTGCTGGGCAGAGGAGGTGAAGAAGAAGAAGATGGAGACCACCTGGAAGATGGAAGATGATGACGCCGATTTAACATGATCGCTGGAAGTTAATTGGCAACATTTGCCCACCCCGAAAAGTTGCTGACACTCGTTTTGCCCAAGGGCAAGGAAGGGAGAATAAGTAAATAAATAAATAAGTTCAATAGTCTCTCTTCGTCGAGTGTGGGTGTACAGAACTTCCTTACATATATAACAACTGGTTGCAGGAGTGTCTTGAATACTCTTATTTTGAGAGTAATGTAAAAAAAATATATACAGCGGATCTATCTCTAATCAAATTTCAAGCTATCCGTCATGTTTCCTCATGTCGTCTCATGTTTCCTCATCCGTCATGTCGTAGGTCATATTTCCTTAAGTCCTTTTGTTAGTTCTTTATACATCCTGGTCTTCGTTTCAGCAACGCTGCTTACCCACATGTTTCCCCTCCCTCCTCAAAAGTGCAAAACCCCATCAAATTATGTCCCCTTCAAAAGTTTTGATGACGCAACTTACGCCATGGAACCCCCTTCTGGGCACCCTATTTAGCAACTTATGTATATGATATCTTAAACTATTGAGTAACTCATCAGTATAATATTTTTGGTTTGTACTGTAACATATTAAATTGCTTGATTTACCATGGACAGTGAGGTGGTACCAGGTGCCGTTGAGCCTGGTGGTGGGCGTCCTGTTGGGGAAGAAGAGGCGACACTCGAACCATCCGTGGTCGGTCTCCCGGAGGCCGGAGAGGGTGAGGCGGGCCCTGCTGCCGTCGGTCTGGATGGAGGCCCTTCCGATGAAGTCTCTTCCAGTCTCCGTGTCCCCGTCCTGGAGGGACACTACCCTTTCTCCCTGTAACCATTAACGTTCAATAGATCTTAAAACAATTATTCTTCTTATCCTAAAATATCGCTCAAAACCATGAAACATATCCAAGGTTGTATGAAACCTATAGGACATATAGTTCTTTTTTCGTCTTTCAGCAAGTTTTGTTTCTAGATGTTCAACACTATTACTTCTTGCTTTGCGAGAAGAACAGAACATTAGCATCCAGGTATCGAATTAGGTGGAAAACATTAATTATTATTATAAAACTGAATATTCTATTGCCGAATAGGATAGCTATATGTATATCAATAGCGGACCAGGATTTCCTTTTTGGGGGAGAGGCTTCAGCCCGAAAGCTTTTAAAAATAAAAATGACGATAATTACTTTGGAAAAAAATAAAGAAACTAACTATCTATATGAAATGGTGTTTAGGTGATTCCTTAAGTCCTTTTAAATGTAATTACACGAACAATAATACTTTAAGAGATAGTTTTTTTATATATATTTCCATAAAACATGGTTATATTTTACCATTTTTGGGGGAGGGTACTTCAGCCAGAAAGCTCCCCGTAGATCCGCCCGTGATGTATATCTATGTATGGCTGTAAGAAAAATCTCTGAAATTTGAAAATTGAGTTATTTTGGTAGATTAATTAGGAATAACCAGAAAAAAGTAAATATAAACTCTGAAATTCTATAGAAATCTAAATTTTTGTCTCAAAAAGTAACGTTGTGTATATTCTGGTAATTGAGCCATAGGTATCCTGGTGGCATTTGTGACATTGTTCACTATTTTTTTCATAGTTTTCTACCTTACTTCCATTAGAACTACTTTTAGATTTTGACTTAAACACATCTTAACAGAGTGACGATAGAAAATAAACTTTATTCCGAGATAAGGTCCTTTAAGAACAAAAAGTATGTACAAATAAACAAAAAACATATATGACGAAAAATTACATTAACAAAAATTCAAAAAATATATATACAGTATCTTCGATTAGAATAGAATGTTACACACGAGATCCTAACTTCCTGAACTGCATTTTGGTTACTGACGAATCTTGCTTTACAAGAAACGGGATTCTTAATTTTCGAAATACCTATACTTGGGCTGAAGAAAACCCTCATACGACTTCTTTTGGACATTACCAACATACCTTTTCTTTAAATACCTGGTGTGGTCTTCTAAGCGACATCGTCGGCCCCTTTTTTTGCCATCTATGATCTCAGGTTTACTTGCAACTTACTTGCATTTTTCGCAAAAAAATCTTCATGAACTCCTAGAAGATATTCCGCTTGGCATTAGGCAAAGGCTTTGGTTTATGTATGACGGTGTTCCAGCTCACTTTTCTAATAGTGTCACTGATTATTTAAATGCAACTTATGGAGACCGATGCGTTGGTCGAAACGGACCTGTTAAATGGCCACCACGATCTCCGGATTTAATACCATTAGATTATTTTGTGTGGGGCTGGATGAAGTCTATGGTTTATCCTGCGGCAGTTGACACGCAAGAAGAGCTAAGAAATCGGATCGTGAAAGCCGCAGTAACTATCAAGCACCATCCTGATGCTATTCGAAGACAAGTATGGATTCGTCGAGCTGAATATCACATTCAACAAAACGGATGCCCCTTTGAACAGTTACTCTAAATGTTGTAATAATAAATCTTTAACCGTTGATATCTGTTTAATAAATGAGTTTGAGATAAATGTTAATATGAACTTTTTTGTTCATTTCGTGTTAGTGAACACATACCTAAAATAGTGCCGTGCAATTACGAAACACCCTTTTATTTTTGTATAATTATACAATTAATGTTTCGAAGACATGACTGGTACCATTCAAAAAGACGTCATTCGTCATCTTAAATTAAAAGGTCATGGACAACAAAACGCTCTAACCATACTTGATACATCTTAAATTAGAAACGCCACTTACATCCAGAAAAAAAAATACCCATTGATAGTTTCTTCATGAATGGCATTCTTGATTAATCGTAATTAGGTGTCATAGGATGTTAGAATTATTACAAAAAGTCATTTTCCAATTAATGTATATCTACAAAACCTTCATCGTTGCTTCAGTAATTACTTTCTAAAATCGACTTCCTTTTTTTTCCCCTCCATCGTTACGTATTTTTTATTTCGATTTAATATAGAACTGACCTACAAATTTCTTGTGCGTGAAAATAGGCAGTTGACGTGAAACGCTTTCTTTTGTTTTGTTTTTCTATGCCGTTAACATTATGTAATATATATTTTATGTATTATATATGTATTTATGTATTATATATGTAATTATGTAATATATATATATATATATATATATATATATATATATATATATATATATGTATATATATTTTTTTTTTTAAACTTGATTCTTCAACTCGCTTGACGCTTCAACTATTTAGCTTGTGCATTTGGAAAGGAAGAGTTGGAAATACTGTAAAGTTATCTAAAAATAATTTTTCTTGAATATTGTTTCAAAGTATAATTTGAATGATCATATTTAGATAATATAGCACGATTTAAAAAAAAAAAATAATATTCTGATTTAATTTTATACCTGTCAAATTTTTTTGTCTTATCTCTTTTTTTAGATGGCTCTTTACACACTTTAACAAACCTGACTAAGCGGAACGTTAATTTAAATCACTTACTATTTATTTATCAACAAATAAAACGACTATGGATGATTCTTTGTTATTAAAGAAAATCCTTATTAAAGAAATTTATTCTAATAAAGATTAATTTAAAACAATACAAAAGTATCTTTACTGCACTAAATACACGGTATAGCTTGAAAAAAAAAATGCTTTTGTAGGTAATAATATTACAAATAACTTTTCAAATATATTATTATTCATCTAAGACAGTTTTGAAAAAAAAAATACATTTAAATAATTTAAAAGCTCAATTAAAATATGGCAAAAGCAGTGCATTAGATTTGTGACAACAAATGTTGAGATAATGGTGGTTTTCCTGCCTTTTGTATAACAGTTAAACCGAGCAGGCTTGGCATCCTGGTGTTTCGTAGTACCAACTCCAACACCACATCAACGGCTTTAAAACCAAATATTTGTTTTAAAATATATGAATATTTTATCTCTATAGATTAATTAACAATATTATTTAGTAATTATAGATAGAATTATCTTTTATTTTTTTTTTTTTATAAAGAGTAATAATTCTGAACCCGAATCAATTAAATAAACAGGACGAACACGATCCATATAGCACTGGACCTATTGTAATACACAAGGCTCCAATCACACGACAAGCAACCGATATATTAAGATAAAACGAGCGTTATCAACTGATTTAATATTTTGTTCAAGGCCACTGCAGTTGTTTTGTTTCGTTAAAAAAAAAATGATACAAAATAGCTATTTATTAAAAATAATTAAAAAATGCAAAATATACATTCAAGTATTGAAACTTAAAAAAATACTCATGGTTACAGTTACGTTGATTTGGACAGCCCTGTAAGTATTTTATCAAAATAACAACTAAATACAGTTTATAGATTATTTTATTGATAAATACGACTGACTACTGTCGTAATGATTCAATTGTTTTTTTATTTCAGCATAGACTTGAAAAATAAAATATATATATATTTTTTTTAACGAACCTTTTAAAGTTTCTTTTTTTTTTTTTTTCGTATATTTGTACAATTTCTTTTTTGAAAGTACAATGTTCAAAACACATTTTTTTTTATATAGGAAATATTGGGTTACGTTCATAGCAGTTCTTAATTAGAAAAGCCACTCAAATTAGACAATATGAGGGATGAATTTTTTTCTTTGAGAGCAAAAATTATTTAATACATCGACAACTGCAGAGCCCTAAAGAACAATTTGATTAGAAAATGCGGTTTGGGGTTTTACATTATAAAAAAAACAAAAAAAAAAAAAACACTGCAAATTATTACACAATAGTTTATCATTTCCAAATAGATATTTATAAAATATGTATGGCATTTCGTTGATTCGACTTCTGGGAAAAATTAAATACAAAATTACTTCATTAGGATTTAAAAAAAAAATTAAATTATTCTTAAAATAACAATTTCGACTATGTCCTTAGAAAGAATGTTTTGGAGTTATAAAATAAAGGAGATTTTTAGGCTTTGAAATTTGGACTAATGTTCAAAGCGTCATAATTCTGCACCGAGTAGTACGATTTCGATGATTTAAAAAAAAAATTGTGATTTAATTGTCTTTAAAATAACTACACATATAATCAACCAAATGCCATTAAAATTCTGCATTCATTATAACTCTTTTAAAACTTCTTTTCGGGGATGTATGTTGTATAGATACATTTTTAGGGTTTCAAGGAGAAGACTTTAGGAAAGTTTCATTAAAATCGTTTCAGCTGTTTCGGCGATACAGTCTACAGGCGAAACAGGTTTTTCTACCGCCATTTTGAAAAGAAATGGAGGATGATATTATCGAGTTAGGACGATAATCCTTGGCTGACCTCTGACTTTGATTCAGAATCCCAAAACAATTGGTCAAGTAGTCTCGGAGAAAAGTCCGAACCCGATATTTTATATTTTCTTTCCTGATTCCACATATCTTGAAATGTAAAATCCTAATTTTGAGGAGGGTTTAATTTTTTTTTCCTGGATGATTAAAATGATGCGCTATAGAAAATAATAATCATGTGGAGTTTTAAGTGGAGATTATCTTAAGATCCAAGTAGAAGCAAATGAGTATTTACGAGTTCTTAGTACCTAATTAAAGAGAGAAAGTTTACCCTCCTCCAGACTGAAAACGCACCATTTCTAGTATTGCCCAAAATCGGTCTTGGTCTTGCATTTTGCAATACCTAGACCAAGGCCGCCTCACTGTTGCGAGACCAAGCCCAGAACTGGTAAACAAAATCGAGTTTTTTAATAAAAATTTACGCAAAATAGTTACTAATACTTGACAATCTTAGTTGCTATATGTTAATAATTGGTATAACCCATATACTTTTGCATTTAAATCCTCTAATTTTTCATTCGG